AAAAAAAAACATTTAGACCTATGACCCACTTCAAAAACTGTACTGCAGCCGGAATTATAAATAGTATTATCTGGCCTCTCATCCCAAAATACCTCATTTGAAATTCATATTTTACAACAATTGTACTTACACCATTCAAAATCAAATTAAGATGCTGCAATGCAAAAATACTTTATTCAAGTCATAAAAATACAATCCATTGATAAAGCAATACATATGAAAATCAATATATTATTTTACATCTTTACAAAAGGGCAGCTGTTTATGTACACTACAATATATACACATCTGAGTGTCCACTCAGATTTGCGCCATAGGTGGCACAGCACTTCAAGACAGGTCATGAACTCATGGCATATTCCTCAAGGGCCCCACGGACACATTCTGCAGGAAAATCTTCTGGCTTCGTCAACACTGCCGTACTTGTGCTCAGCTGACGAAGTGTATGAAGTGCAACTAGAAAAAGGTATTCATACCTTACTGAAGTTACAGTGAAGTATGTTTTAATGATAAAATTTTGGCTTATGTTTATTGCAGGGAAATTTCCAAACAAGGCACAAAAACAGTGAACAATATTAACAACAAAAGAAAAAAAATGTGTGTATACAGTTTGTCAGGAACTCTTGTATTTCATGCTATAAATTTTCTTCATTTAGATTCTGGATATTTCAGTGCCTCTATACACTTAAGGTTCCACTCCTTGCACTTCAACACGTGTGTGTGTGTGTGTGTGTGTGTGTGTGTATGTGTGTGTGCATGAATGTACAAACATCAATCTCACCTGCCCTCATGCCCCCCAGTGAGCAGTGGTTCTGCAACCAGACCATTACAGAAGAGCGGAACTCATTCCAGGTCTTGGTGGACACGGTTTGGTTGAAGGAGTCAAACAATGGACGCATTAACATTCCATACTAATGCCAAAGTCAAGGTAAACACTAAATATAAACATATTACTCTAAATTTCTGATAAGCTGTAAGGCTTTAAGATTTTAATAAATTGAACTGAAACTAGTTACCTCTCATTTCATCTTGAATGTGACTTCAATTTAAGACTTTGAGGTGTGAGTTAACAAAACACTGCAAGTTCACTGCAGGATTGCTCTACTTTTAAGACATTTTAAAAATTGTAGCTGAAATGATACCTGTTCAGTTCTTAGAAATAAATACACAAGTATCCACATAATCAAGTATTCTTGCCATTGTAAATATATGTCCAATTTTTACATAAACAAATTGTCTTCATTATCTTAATCTTTTTACTTCAAAAAGGATACGACCCAATATTTCCAACTCCTGTAAGTTTCTCTTCTTACATGTTCCTCGTACATAGCCCCCAAATTTGACTTGGATGTTACAGCAGAGCTCTTGGCACACTCTTCACCAACATCAGTACCCGACTCAGGAAGCAAGGCTTGCAACTGGCTGTAAAAATTCAAGAAAAAATGCATTAGAAAACTTAAAATGAAATAAGAATTAACCAAACTTTTCGGAGTGTAGACGAAATCACACACAGATAAAGCGCACTTTAATCACTGGTGACATTAAAAACTGTGGCGTAAGTGAAAAAAAAAAAAAAAAGGAAGAGGAACTGGATATAATTTCTATTCAACAAAAAAGAATGTGAATTGATCGTGTTATTTTATAAGAACCAAAAAGAAATTTAAATTGTAATTTTTCAAATTGACAAAAAAAGAATATCCCTGCCCACCCAAGTCTGAAATTAAAGAAACTGCCCATTTGAATTATTCAATTCAATCAATTTTTGATTTGACCTGAAGACAAGAAAAGTTTTAATCAAAATCTTATTATTTAGAATCCAAAATGAAAAACATGCCTGAAATTCAGAAAAGTTTTTATTTATTTTGACAGAAATAGTTCAAAAAAATATTAATTTTTAATTGAAGAGGGACCTGCAATTCTAACCACAAAACAGTTTTGAATTATTGTATTAAAGTGTGCATCTGCTGTGTATCATCTGCAAAAAAAATCCATAGTAATGAGATTTTCAAGACAAGCATGCATGCATATACCAACAGTCTTTCATTCAATCACATTATGTCAATGATTGGTGGAAAACTAATCTGTAAACCATGTTCACAACAGCGTGAAGTAAGCTTACCCCATCCACATACTTACCTAACCCAATACACTTGGTGGTGATATGTTGTTTTGTGCGTTATTTTTTTCGAAAATGACCCTCACCTAGTCTGTTGGGTCAGCATCTCTATTTCGGCACGCAGAGCGTCACCCTCATTCTGCATTTGAATACGCTCAGCCTGGAGCTGTCGGCAGTAATCGGCAGCTGGTGTGTTTAAAAGCAGAGGGTGTCGTTTTAATAAACGGGACATGGGGGACCAGTGTGCTGCCAGGTCTTTTCCCATCATGCTTTTTTATCCAAAGAAAAAAATTATCTTTTTTTTTTTTCATTTCACTGATGATGACAATCCATAACCGGATGAATAAATGTTTTCATCCTTCCAAAAGTGCATGTCATGGTTCTGATCTAGCAACACAGAATAAGGGAGGGGGAATGTATATATAAACATCTGCCATGTCTTATCTTATCTGGTAGATGACACAAGTACTCACATTGTATCAAAGCAGGAAAATAAACTGTCAAGAAATCCCAAACATTTCTCTTTAAATTTACAAACAGGTCTTACATAAACCTTGTTAAATGAGCGTTTGCCTTTTTGCTCATCTGTCGGATAGTTTTCTGAAGACAGATAGTGGCTAAAATACAATATAATTTATAATCTTATATAAATTTAGCATTTTAGTAAGGTATAGTTACTTTTTAGCAGAACTGATTAGAGTTTACAATGAACTGAAAAATTTTTGTCCCCAAAAATGTTTTAGATACTTGAAAAAAAATTAAATTTTATGAAACTCATAAAACGGTCACTTGTTGGCAGACAACTTTATTTTTCCATGTGAAATCTTCCTGTGTGTGCATGTGTGTGTGTGCATGCGCGTGTGTGTATGCTGTTGTTGTTGTTGTTTTGAACGAAAAGTTTTATGAGAACAAGCCAAGGTGAGTGTTGGGCTTCTGGGGTCAACAATAATCTTTATCAACATGGAGGTCTCTTCAGTTTAACAGAAGAGTTCAAAGAGTAAAACTGTCCCCCTTGACAGAAAATCTCTTAATATCTGCAAAAACAGCAATATTATTTATGTATTTATTATTAAAATTATTATTATTATTATCATTTTGAGTGTCTGTAGACTATATTATATCCACATTTTAAAAATAAGACTGTCACAGAAGTAGAGTTCACATCAAACAACAGTTAACATTTCTTAAAGAACCATCATGGAGCTTTTATCTTTTGTTAAAAATTATAAACATCAATATTAAATAACTTATTTCAGAAGTTTTCTCTGCTAAAGTAATCTTTAATGTCACTATTGCAAAATTATTCAAAGATTCATCTGGTATTTTGAGATTGCACAACAAAGACTATTTTCACAGATCATGAAAGGCAAATGCAAGATCACATATATTTGTTTTGTGTTCTTTTCCTGTTTTGATAACACAATGCTTATACTTGTATATAACACTGTCCCTAACTGTAACATTTTCTTTTGGAAATGATGGGAAGACTTGTGTTTGGCCAATGAAGGACAAATGAGTTCCCACCTACCTTTGAACAACATGGCAGATTTACTCTCTCTGCTTCCTGGGCTATCATCAATGGCTGGAACGAGAGTCTTCAGGTCTCCAAAGCCATGCTAAAATTAAATATTTATTTTCTTTTTCAAAAAAAGTAATAATCACCATAATGTCTTAGGCTATGCATATGGATTTTCTGTGTTCTGCTACAAAACTTCATAGCTGGCTTCAAGGAGAAAGGGGAATATTGCTTTTGGCTCACAAATCATAATACAGATTTTTAATACCAAATCATTACACTGTGATTAATCAAATAGTTAAGTAAGACAAATAAACAGTTGTCTCTCTAGAAAACCATTCAAAATAATAAACAGGTTTATAAAAAAACAATATGGTGTAATATATACTAGACCAATGGGTTATATTTGTTCGTAATTTTCCTAGTTATTTCTCTCCTTTTTTAAAAAAGCACCTGAATTTTTGATCTCCTACGCAATTCTGCCTTTATATGAGATTCTCTCTTGTGTCTTGCCACGGGGTTCTTTTGTTTCCTCTTTCTGCTGCTTTCAGATCCTGGGGATGCCTCTGGACTGCTGGGCAATGACACAATGGATGACGGTTGTTCCAAGCTCTGTGGAGATTCGATGCTCAAGGTTTTCAGGAGGGAATTCTGCATGATAAAAATATATATTATGCTGACAGAAATTTTAAATTTGCTGGAGTTTGAGGCCATTAATGCACTTAATGCTTCAACATTACATGTGTACCATGCAAAAAAAACTGAGACCCATGATAAGGAAAAAAATATATAAATGTATTTAACAGCCCTCTACTTTCAAGTTTAGTATGTTTTGTCACATCTCAACAAACAAAGCAAAATAAAAGTGTAATTCACAATATTTTCTAACAAAGACTGAAGATGATGTAAAAGTAATCAGTAGTTTTGTGGTTAATAGGGAAAAATTGGATTACTCCTTTCTCAACATACTTAATAATGTTTGAACTGTTATATCTACTGCATGAAATGTGCCTGGTTTAGCTGTGTTGTAGACAGCTACTAGCATAAGATAATAAAATATCAGATTTTTTTCTTTGCTTTCGAACAATAAAAATGTTTTGTTCAAAACCTATTAAGTCATGTAATAGATTTGCTTATTGCTCTGAAGAATCAACAGATGTTAAAATAGCAATGTCTTCATAGAGGGTGTCATTGGGTCTTTTTGTCACCCCTGAAAGTCACTTTTAATTATCTGAGATGCATGAAATGTTCATATTATTTGATCTGTGAAAAATCCCATTCATGTACGTCACTCGTGAATGCAAGTTTTTACTCTTTGTCATTCGTGTCAAAAAGTCATTCTTGGTGATTTGAGATTTCCAACTTATATTTCCTGCATTTTAAATGAAACAGAATAAAGATTTATATCCTGTGATTTGTGCATTGATAAGTTATTTCCAGTGAACTTTGATCACTCCCCCCCCCCTCCCCCACAATGGAACCCTCACCACAGTACTCAGGGGCAGGTCAGGCCATCTTCTGGGTCTTCCGGAAGACGGTCAGATTGTCAGGTTTATTTTGACGGTTATCTAATGTTTTCTGTCGGAAGATGGTCCAAATGGAGGATGGATCAACAAAGATAATTTGACACTGTCAGAAAATGTCTCTTCTCATAGAAGAATATATGACTTGTTTTCCTTTAGCACTACGAGCCATGAGGAGTAATGACCCACTCAGAGAGTGATCTAATCATCCATGAGGCCATGCAAGCATGTCCACCTAGGTGTTAATAAGGTGAGTGCACATGATAAGGTTTATGGCTTTATGCACAACAGATCCGGTATCAGAATCAAAAAGAACCACTTGTCCACTGACCATGAATTTTCCTCCAGTCAACAGGGCTACTGTTATTTGTAGTCCAAGGGTGTTATGCTCATTATCATACCTTGTCAGAAAGAAGAAAAGGTGACCAAACTTTGGGTTAAGTAAAGTCTCAATCAAGCAATAGTATTTTGGGGTGTTTTGATTTCTGTACAAACTAAATAAAGTATTATTTCTGTATGGAATAAATATAAGCACTTTCTGCCGCCAATGCCTGTCTGAAAAATAATCTGTACATGAGTGCCGATTCAAAGAAAATATGGTACAAAGTTTGATGACGTTACAAAAAACTTCCTGGTATGGCCTACAACTGTGCTGCATCACTTGTGACTTAATTTGGTAATGAAGTTTTTCAGTGCAAAATATTTTAATTTATTCTGAACTCTTCTTACCCAGGCAAAGTCATTCCATAAGTTTCCCTTTTTAATGTAAAGCAAAATCATGTACGGGCCATAAAAAAAGGTAAAAAAATAACTATACATTATGATAAATTATATTCCTCTCCTGTTTCTGTCATGACAGTTAATACGTCATGTCCAGTAATACGATAGTCACCCTGGGCATTGACCCAGAAAGGTCATGCCTCTGACGTCACACATACGTCAGTAATGAATGGGTTTTTACCGAGACACACCTCCTGCCACCGAAACTGGATTGGACCAGATTATTCACGTGAACAACGCACCTTCTCATTTACGGCAATATCATTGGATATAAGGCAAAGCACGTGATAGAAAACTGCAAAGGTATATAAAGACGAACACTACCCATATTCAGATTCTATCGATCAAGTCAGCGCCGAGGACGATAATAGTAAACTAAGCAACGTGCTGCCTGACTTAGATGTACAAATTTGTAAACAGTACGTGGTTCAAAAGTGAGCGTCACGGTAAAATCCGATGCTCGGTTACTCAAAATCATCAAAGAAATAATCTGAACAAATCTTAAGATATCAAAGACGTACTGAAGAAGGATCTTTATCTGATCGCACGAGAACGTGCTGAATTATACAACTATAAAGCAGAAATACGAAGTAATGGTTTAGGACTATTACCAAAGTATTTCACTTACTTGTTCTTGGTATGGGTCTTCGATGGTCAGGTTAAACAGATCTGTATCATCTAAAAATCTCGCCAGTAACATTTCGGGACAATCTCTGTCGGCTTTCATCCTCTCCGCGAGCGTGTTGTCGCTACGAATGCCAGGCATTAACTGGCGCTCACCGCTGGTGGCGCGGCGATCACCGGGGCAGCATTCCGTATCTCTAATTGGTGGACTAATCAACACAAAGTTTTTAACATCAAAGATAATCGTCGCAACATGAGTGTCTTTTGTGGAAAGGAAATCAGTATGACCGACAAAAACTCGTCAATTTTCTAAATTTACTATTGCAACGAAGGTCACATGCTTCGCAATGCTAACCCTGTATAAACCAATAGGGGGCAGAACGATAGCATTGATGAAATGTAATGAAACCTGTGTGGGTGATTGGTTGTTTTAGGGGCCTGCACTTCTTGTTTGGTCTACAGATTCTACAGTATTTCAAAATTTAAAAGTTTGGAAATCTTGGGGGCATTGATTTCCAAGGGGGATTTTTTTTAAGCAAATGTGCTAATATCACAAGCGTCAAAATAAATGGTGAAATAAATTATCCTTGATCTAAATCGGGTAAATGAAAAGCAGCTAGAGAGGGACAAGCGCCGTTATGATAATAAATAAAGGATAAAAAAAAAAACTATCGAGAGTGTGACAGAGTTTTTTAAAGGCTTGTCAAATAAAAATCAAATTAACACTTTTATTAAAATAAAGAGGTGCCACATATAGCCTATTAAGCAACACTTAACCTCGCGTGTTAGGATGCAGCCTTTCTCTGCTATTTAAATAGAATTCATGAATGAAGCCACGAGTAGGCCTCAGATTGCATCGTTTTCGGTATCTTATTACCACATACTATTCTTACCTGCTGTTGTTGTGTGCATTTTACGCTATTTAATAGTCCTGAAAATGTTCCCTGAAAGGTTTCAGTGGCCTCCCAGAATATTTGTTCGTGTCGCAAAAAATTGTATTGTTGTTGTTATATAATATTGTCCTCTTAATGATATGTGTTAGGTCTAAATATCATCACTACATAAGCACCGACCAAAAACAGAACCTCCATTATTTTAATTCAGCCATGTTGCGAGATGGCGATCATCGTGCACGTTGTGAGTAAAGAATTAGCAGCATCAGGTGACCGAATGCTACTTGATAATAATTAATTACATTTGAATATCAGATCTTATGTCTACTGCATCTCACGCAAGTCATCTCTATACTACCCCAACGGGGCCGTAGCGATAGTCCGAAGGTTCAATAGTCCGAAGGTTCATTGGTCCGAATGTTCACTATAGAACCTTCGGACCAATGAACCTTCGGACTATCGAGACGCCCCCACCCCAACCCCTTTATCTTGATAAGTTCTGGGGGTAGATTATTAATTAATTTATTTATTTTATCTATTTTATTTATATTTATTTATTTTATTTATATTTATTTATTTTATTTATTTATTTATTTATTTGCTAAGATGGTTTGGATACAAGTTCATACATCGACTAATCCTCATCTTTCTTTAGACTTTCCCCCGCTTGCATCTGTCATTGACGCTTCCGATTCTCCTCAGAAGCACTTTAATACGTATATACATATATACATATAGGCAGTGAAACAAATATAAGCAATATACAATGACAGTATTAGAAAAGAACAGCAATATTAAAAAATCAAGAGTTCACATCAAACACTATTTAAAACTTTAGATGTGGGTACCTTGTATCAGAACACTACTTAAAATTTCGATTTAAATTTAAAGGATGTGGTCATTTGAAGTAAATGTTTTATTGAAAAATAATCCAAAAGAAAACAAGAATTGAAAGATTTCTGTAAATTGAACTTCCCTTAAAACACAGGTCTTTCGTTAGTTAAAAATTTCTCATCTCATAATTTGTTCCTCAGAAATGATGTACTGGTACTTGTTTGGAGCGACCACTGGTCATTGCTATGACTATGCATGGTACGCGGCAGCAAAGGAATGTAAATGACCTAACAGCCGAACAATGGCACGAAAGCGGACGTTTGCGTAGTCTATAATATGAGGCACAGGAGTGTAAAATAACATACGGATGAGAATTGGCTAAATATCTAATTATCTTATTTTCAGAAAACGTGAACATAACCCCCTCCCCCCCTTTCTTGTGCCGCCCAGCACACGTCCACTATCCGCCATGCTCTAAGTAACTACTGATGCGACATGACAGAGCGCAAACTTAGATACTGAAGCTAATGAAAGAAGGCGGGCACTGTGCACGTTCCACAACGTGAGTTAATGCCCGTCACTGATGCACGCGTTTCGAGGACGTGGACCACCTTATCTTCGAGACAAACGCACAAAAGCGCGTTATAAAAGTCGAGCAAGGGCATCTGTCAAAATACCTGCGTTGCGTGGTAGTCACTGTCGTGGCTGTCTTGTTAAAACTACCTTAGATTTATATTACAGATAAGACGGTCTTCTTATACCACTTTGGATTTATTCAAGATTTATTTAACAGATAAGACTGCACAGTTTTGTTAGATTTCCAAAGATTCTCTTCATAGATAAGACCGGCTGGAGTTACACCCCGGAGAGCATAACGACTTCAATTTAAACTTAGGACAAGGAGCTAAACAAGCATAAATGTGGTTATATATTAATTCACCTCAGTGACTGGTTAGGACAGAGAAATCTTGATAATGTGGGTGGGTTCCCAGTTATCGCTTGGGACTCGGGGTACTTGAGAAAGTCTTACTGGCACAACTGTCGCAATGCCAGAATCACTTAGTGGAACAACCAACGGTGAAATCACCTCAGAAAATCCAAGTGTGTTTGGATAAGATTGATTAAAATTGAATGACTTGATTGCGAGCTAAAATGTGTCATTTTTGATTAAATAAAAACCAGTCTCTTGGATAAAATAACAACTACTTATCTGCAGTCTTAAATGGGGAATAATTTTCTATTGAAAAATCAAATCTGGTGTTTTTTAACATATACCCAGTAATTTTATTCAGTGCTTTTTGCCACAATTTTCAGTTGTCCAACAGAAAACCATTTAAAATTATTTTTGCTTGTTTCTATTTGCCTTGTTTAAAGGGGTAATTAATATGCACTGAATAAGGCATACCTATATTTTGAAAAGTAAAATGCTCTGAATTCTAGCACTTAATTTAATCTTCTAATTTTTGCTATATACATAGGTCCAAAGTTTGCAGCAAGATGTGGCAGCACCAGCTGTCCATATTTACAATGATTGTCAAAATAATAAACATTCCGAAATGCATCAACTAAACAACTCAAATCCTCGATGACAAACTGCATTTCTGAGTTATGGTGCAGGTCCATAATGGCGGCGTAGACAACTTGGTCATTTTGTCCTGGGGAGAGGGTGCAGGTAGAGTAGACTACAGCACCCCCTGGTTTACAACACTGCATACCAGATCTGAAAGTATAAAATGCCTCAATTAAACACTTTTTATATAAATAAGAGAGTTAGACAATGACAAGGTAACAAATCAATGAAATCTGCCACCAATTTTAAAGCAATGAACTTATTTCAATAGCTATTTACTCACAAAAATACATTTTCTGATACCAGTATGTACCATAGTGATTTTCAAAACTTCATAAATATCATTTAGAGATATTTTTTTCAAAGCGTAAGTTTGGAAAAGGTAACTTTTCAATTTTGTTCTTATGTATTGCGTGATTATTTTAGTTATAAATCACATTTCAAACTTACGTACTCAACAGGAAATCAACAAGAAATGTTGCAATTCCTAACTACTGTTTGTGTACATCTGTATGTTATAAATTGTTTAGCAGTTGGCATTTGAAAATTTGTGAGCACAGTCTTACTTAAGTAATTCCTGTTGCAGCTTTGGCAGTTGCAGTCGCTCTTTGGTACGAGCAGGTTTGAATATGGAGTCCTCCTCATCTGGGCTTAAAACATGTCTATCAGTTGTACATGGCACATCTACCAATACCTGTTGAACAAAGTAACGATAGAATGTGTTTAAGATACGAGCTATAAAATTATGAAAAAACATTAGAAAATAGACACCCTAAATTTCAGAGAGTTTCTGGAGACTTACTGGGTGTCTCTGTTATCAGCTGCCGTTTAGATTAGTTGAAATATGGAAGATGGGTATGGTGACTGTCCATTTATATCTGAAACTCTGGTTGCAAAAAAGACTGAAAAAACTGTAACCGTGTCTACTTTGTGGAAAATTACAGCAATCATATCTGATTCAAAATCTGTGGATATGACATCTTGTTTATCACAGATAATTATCTGTACTCGTACTGGGGATGCACTATAGAAGAAATAAGTATGTAATGCTTCATCTTTTAATTCAAAAACTTTTACACAAAAGCTGCAACCACACTTCACACAAAGATATTCAAATGCATCCCCTTTTAAGTTGTAAAACTTCTGACCTACCCTATCATATATAACATCAGGGTTAGCTGCGACCCATCTGATACCATTCATGTGGTGATAGTCAATAATATGACCCACACCTCCCAAATATCTGTCCATTACTGACCTCACCCTCCTCAGTCTGCTCAGGGAGATGTCCACACAGGTCAGCTGCTCTGTCAGAAACAATTATAACATGATAATTATAATGTTTAACAGCAGATAACTTCAATCAAAGAAAGAAAAAAACAGACAAAAAATGTTCACTACATAAATTCCAGAGGAGAAATCACTAATTCATCATAAACACTGCTGCAACTAATACTACATCCCATGGTCTGTAACAAATTTTATAATGCCATTTATTCAATCATCAAAAAAAAGGAAAAAGGAAGTTTTTAGAATTGGTTAGATATATGTTTACTCACCAATATTCATAGTTTGCATCATGGCCAATGCCTTTCCTCCTGGTCCTGAACATAAATCTAACACACGGCAGTTAGAGGTCAGAGAAAGTGCAAATACGGGCAACAGAGAGGCCGCATCCATTAAGTAGTACCCTACAAATTAAGGTGTAAAACCTTTATAAGATTAGTCTTCCTAGATCAGATATAATATTGCCTTACACACAACATAACATAACATCAAACCCAACCAGTCTGATATTCAAGTTAAATTATCAATCCAATGAGGCTCAAGAAATATAAACTTGATGCTGTTACGTGAATTGATTTCTGCTTTGTTTTTAAGTTGTATTCTTAATTTCTTTCATATAAAAACTAACACATGTCAAAAACCTTGTAGGTGAATTTTTGAATTGATCTGCATAAAAAAAGCAATAGTTCACTGAATAAGCCAATTTTTAATTGCCACTTTGGGTTACAGTTAAAAATACTTTTAATTTATGTTAGGTATGATGATCTCAAAGTGAATGGTTTTACCTGCACCTACAGGCTTTTTAAATGTTGAGACATTTCTCTTGGGAAATATGTGGACTCTAAGCTCAGGAGGGATTTTCAAATCTCTTCTTGGTATAATCTGTATTACTTCTTCACCATCTTCCACTGGTAAACTCTGTTCCTGTTGTGTTTGCAAAGTCAGCTCGTCCTGGGTGTACACTTTAGCTGGGGGAATAAAATCATGCATATTAATAACCTGCCCAACGCGGCCACTGTAAATGTCTTCATCTTCAGAGTCAGAGTGAATGTCTACATCATCTCTCTCTTCAGTGTCACTGTGAGTGTTATCTTCAGATAAAGAGGAATCCATGTCATTCCTTCTCTCACTTATCTCAGAAGTTTGTTCATTTAATGCAGCCTCTTCATGTGACTCAATCTCATTATCTTTTTCATAACCATCTTTTTTCACTTTCTTCTTTTTGGGAGCTTTCTTCTTTGGCCTGTTAATATCATAAGCCCCTAAAGATGACAAGTCAGCAATGATGTCATCTCTTGATCTGCTTAAGTTGTTCACCAGAGCACAATATTTGGGTCTGGACAATAAGGCAATCCGGATGGAGGGCCATTGTTTCCCAAATATTGGAGAGTAATATCTGTCAAAGAACTGCAATGCTCGGACTTCTGGTCCTAACTTTTTGCTTGTTTGAAACTAAAAAGATACAAATAAAAAGCTGTTAAACTTAGCCAACTAAGCTGGATATACATGTACACAAAATGATGAAGTTAAACTACAAAAAGTATAAATAACAGTTATATGACATATAACAGTAATCCTCTATCAACTGAACAATGAATAGGTCTTATGGAAAAGACAACTTTTGTCAACTTGATTAGTTTTCGGATGTTTTACAACAAACACCTCCTGGTTATATTTGATATGACATGTTGAAATATCTATTGCAACATCAGCACAATTGTTAAATGCAGAAAATGTAAAGAGAAGTTCAAAGGGGTAGATACAGAAACCCCAGACTGCATTTTTGGGATGGAATTGAGATGGTAAAAATGAAGTTTTGAGGTACATGTACTAGTAGGCTAGCTAGTTTCCCGACAGTTGTCCTAGAGTTAAGATTGTCTGCATGAGTATAAAACTCTACAATAATCACTGTACTGTAATAATGAAAGCAAAGTGATAAAGATAAGCTGACTAAGTAAGACTAAGCTCAGTTGCCTGCTTTTGTCCTTACAGACTTGTTGCTCTACGTGCAGTAAGAACAAGACTGAGTTAGAGAACAAGGTTTATTATCATTCACTCAGTTATATAATATCTGATATAATATTATATCTCTGTACATTTTCACCTGCTCAGTCTGGTGCAGAAAGTATGAATAAAGCATATAATTTGCTGTCCCAATATCATTCATCACGCATTAACTTCACGCCACCTCTATCACTCACATGCTTCTTCTTAAATTTCCATCTCCTTGATAAATGACAAACAAGCGGTGTACTAAGAAATTGCCTTGATGTGTTTTGAACTGCAAGCATTTTGATTAGTCTGCACGTGTTCCAATTAAAACGGAAGTAGTGCCGTGGAAGTAACATGCAATCCCATTGGCTCTGATTCCTAGTTTGACCAATCAAAATCAAAAATACTTAATTTTAGGACACGTCAAAGCGACCTCCAAAACCGGAAGTGGCCAGTATTATTGACAGAAATGTAAAGTAACTTTGCTTTAGGCGGCTTTAAATATCAACATGCAGTCACAGTACAGTCTCCGGAGTCCATGTAAGTCATATCTGATTGAGTTACTGAATTGTACATTAGGATTATTTGCAATTTTATAAATAACCATCGTTAGAACGGCACAAATTTAGATTTTCCCGAGTTCAGTCACTTAGAAATGCGCCCGTACTGTACATGAATCGTAGTATTATTAATAATTACATGTACAACATCCTCTTTCGTTCTTAACCTCTAAGGAAGTGTTGATAGCGGTCATTTTTTATTGAACACATTTCAAGTGATGTGACAGGCCGTATATGTCAACTTGCATTTTAAATTCTCTTTGACAACCTGATTGTTTTTTAAACACAAAAATTACGTGCCCAGAAATTTTTTTTAAGTTTCCTGGCAACGTGCATTTAACTCATATGGACGTGACACACTAATACCTTGTCTTCCTGACTTTTTATGTTAGAAATATTAATGGATCAGGCAGAATTCTGATGCTTTTTTTTAAAGATATAATGATTGGTAAATAAAAACATTTTAAAAATCATTTAAATTTAATCTACTATTGCCTGTGTACACCAGTAGTATAGTGAATGTGTTGTATCCAATCATAGTTTGCATCACAAGGGTAGGGGCATTCTGATATAAGACAAGATTTAAAATAGTCTTTGTGTTTTGTTTTCCTTTTAATAGCTGTAAAGCGTTTGATGAAAGAAGCACATGAACTGAGTGAACCAACAGAGCAGTATTATGCCCAGCCACTGGAGGTATAGTATATTTTATTGTAAAACACATTTTTATTATCTTTAGAGATTAAGAATTTCACCCTAGTAGTATTCATAGTCGACTGTTGAAACATTTCAGAATTGTGTTAATTTTTACACTGCAAACAACAGTAATAAACAAAAGAAGAAAAAAACTACCCTCTGTACTTTCCAATGTTTACTTTGAAATTATCAGAATTGTGCAATATATTTTGATTTTAGGACAACCTGTTTGAGTGGCATTTCACAATACGTGGTCCTGCAGACACAGAGTTTGAGGGAGGGATTTACCATGGAAGAATTGTGCTGCCTCCAGATTACCCCATGAAACCACCAAGCATTATTTTATTGACAGTAAGTTGTTTACACGTTGTGCATTCTTTCCTGTCCCAAAACGGCCATTACTTACTTAATCATTCATTCTCTTTCTTCATCCATTCTCTTTCTTCCTCTTTTGAAGATTTGGTTTAGATTTTCACTTACCACATTTGACTTTCTGTGAACATGCATGCAGATTTTGAAAATTATATTGTTTTTTATTCTAGTCCAATGGCAGATTTGAAATAGGCAAAAAGATTTGCCTGAGTATTTCTGGTCACCACCCGGAGTCCTGGCAACCTTCGTGGTCTAGTAAGTAAATTTAGTCTCCTGAACAGTGAGCAATTTATAAACCCTAAGATACATATAACAATGTTTTTAACTTCAAACTATTTAGTACCTTATCTCTACCCTATATAAGAATGTACCCTCAGAGAAGAAAATTTTATAAATGCAGAATGAGGTTCTTGCTGTGAATTTCCAATATGGAGCTATATATTGGGAACCTGTACATACTCATCCACTGTGCTCACTTGTTTGTGTGCTAACCACCAATGTTTAAAAAATGCTACAAAGACTTCACCAAAGAGGTAGCAATCAGGGCCTGATGTACAGAATACCCAGTAATTAAATGATCAAATCTTGAACTAATTATTGTTATTTCAGTAAGGACAGCTCTGCTTGCCATCATAGGCTTCATGCCGACCCATGGAGGTGGAGCCATTGGTTCACTGGATTATACTGCTGATGAGAGGAGAGTGCTGGCTAGGAAGTAAGTGAACCCTGTTTTTAATCTTGTTTGAATGTTAAAAACATTATCATCATGATTTAAATTGCCTTATAGTCAACCACACAAGCAAGACATACTCTCCGAGTATGATATATATATATATATATATATATATATATATATATATATATATATATATATATATATTTATTAACTTTGGATGAGGTGTGCAAAACAACATATTGACCAAAAGCAAGAGTCAATACTTTTTTATTAAATGATTTAAAACCTGAATCTCACTGTCTTCCAAGGTAACATCAGAAGTTGCAACATCACTGCTCTCTTACATTGTTGTTCTTGTCAGATTCACGAAACATTTTAATTTTTTCTGATTGGTCAAAAACTTTTGATAATATCATTGGTCAATATTACCTTTGGTGATGACATCGTCAGTCAATCAGTATGGAGTATTACTATTATCATACCTCTAGACCATAAATATAAGATCACCACCTATTCTAGTTATATGACAATTACTATCAGCAGTTATTTGATTTTTTTTTTAATATATATATAATTTTAGGTCAAGGGAATTCAAGTGTCAGAGTTGTGGTCCTGTGAATAGTGTCTTATTACCACCAACATCTGCTTCAGAAGAAACAGCCAAAGAAGCCAAAGAACTTGCATCTCAGATCTCCTTTCAGGTTTGAAATCTGCTTGTTGTTTTGACATTCACAAAGCATTCATGATTGCAGAAACACAGCTGGACCCTCTTGCACACTACACATACTTCTAGGCTCTCTTCACATCAGCAGTGCACAGAACTTGACCAGTTTGCTTTGAGGGATTGACAATTTTTTAGATTGGCTATTATATAACAGAGTCACCTAAACGGAGCCCCCCTTGCTCAGTGCTGCCATTGAAATTAAGCATGTGAAAGGGAGTAAAGTCCCTGTTGGAACCTGACTATATAAGTGGCCCCATCCAGTTAAGTGCACTGCACGAGGTGAAAAGAAAGTAAATTAGTTTGGCAGGTAGTCACGCAGGCATGCATGCATGGGGGTACACACACACACACACACACACACACACACACACACACTTGGGTTCCTGCACACTTCATGTAAGGAAGACTTCTTCTTGTTAGCATATTGGCAACTGAGAATTCAAAGCAGAATAAAAACCACATAAGTGACACACCCTTTAAAATATGTTTTTTGTTCTTTTTAGGCAGAAAAGGAAAAGACCAAAGAAACCCAAGACAGAAACTCAAATGCTGAAGATGGTGTGCCTGCAGCTGAAACAACTCCCAACTTACCCCAGCAACAACAGCCCAACTTTCCTCCATTCCCCGGGTTTCTAATGCCAGGACAGCTGCCAATGAACTTGCCACCCAATTTCATGTTCAACCCAGCATATGGACCATTTGGTGGACCGTACCAGGGAAATCCCAATCTTGTGCAATCTCCTGTGGCTGGTAGCCAGTCAGGTGGGGCACACCCCACCACCACAGATACCAGCAATGTACAGACTGAAACCCAACCCAGTAGTACAGTGAACAGTCAAAATGAAAGTGAAACTGCTGTTAATGCATCAGCTGCTGGAGCAACTCAAGCAGGAGTTACAAACAGTGGAGAGAACCAAAGTGTTAACAGTGGCATGAATCAAACTACAACAGAAGAGCCCCAAACCCCAGGATTAAGACAAAGAAGAGTTAACTCAGAGACCACCTCACCTGCTGTGGACACCAACCCAGTGACGGCAGAGATACCTGTGAGGCGACGGGTCCAGAGGGAGGCAGGGGGGACAGGGTCACTTGTCCTCATGATGATCCTGGCTGTGGCTCTGGCCATGCTGGTGGCCAGGAGAGTGCTGCTGTCCAGTGAGTGGGCACCCCAGTGGAGGGACTAGGACTGAGCATAGGGTGCTTACTACTGGACACATCAAGGGACCACATTAAGCGACCTTGACCTGATGAGTTGGCAAGAACTTACAAAAATAAAAGGCTCCTCAAAGAATTGTGAAAAATAGAATGTTAAATCCAAGGCCTGCTTAACAGAGTTCTTGAGCAAATTTATTGAACTGGTCATAAATTCTTTTTATTTATTAATTTCTTGTTTTTCAAATCACAGACAGCTACTTGTATTTTCTTTGTTATATCTTTACTGACTTTGTCAGTCTTCATCAGGGCACCTTTTGATCAGTTTAGTGCAATCGTTGGTAACTGTCTGTGATATGATAAAACAACAAAATAGTCTGCTTTATGGACCTTTGGAGCCTCTCTAGGGCGGAGTACCAGTACATGTGTGTATCATGGTAATGATACCTGTTAAGTTTATGTGGACCAAACTACAGACAGGATTAACAATTGGTGATAGGCTGACAGTACATTGGTTTGTGCTATTGTGTCCTGATTTAAATGTCACCTGGTTAGATGGTGCATGATACTATTACTACTTTTCTAGTTATCAGAAATGTTACCTGCTCCTATTGGAGATAGAGGATTGGAACTTACATTTTTTTTTTTTTTTTTTTTACAGTTGTTCTCACCAACTTGGTGAAGGTGTGCTCTGAGTCTAATTTGGTTTTGAGTGTTTAACGTTGCCTGGTTAACAGGGGCGGATTTAGGCCCTCTTCTGGGTCTTCCAGAAGACGGTCAGATTTTCAAGTTTACATTAAAAGGTATCTTATTTTTTCTTTTGGAAGACACTCAAAATTGGAGGATAGATCAATAAATATAATTTGGAAGACTGTCAGAAAATAGCTCTGGATCCGCCCCTGGTTAAGTGATATTAAATTTACTTTGGTATGTACATTCGTAAGGTACTGTAGATATTTGGACACATTTCAGAAAATTAATATATATATATATATAAAGCCACTATGGGGTTATAACTTGTAAGATACTGGTATATGTACACACATGTGGGCGCGCACACACACACACACACACACACACACACATTGCTTAGGGTACAAGCATAGAGAAATGTGCAATATCACAGCTATTCAAATGGTACAGGATGTCCCAGTATAAATGTGACCTAATAAGGTGAGGACCATTTATTTTCTGTTTACAAACTACATACAAACCATATATTTCTTAAAACTAGAGTAGTTAGCAAATCCACTGGGTGTAATTGCCACAAATAACGTCATCAGTTGTACTGACAAAGATTTTATCATCACTTATGGAATAACCTCACAGTGAGCTCCGTTTTGCTAAAGATATTTGAATTCTACGGACGACGTTGCCGATGGCTGATGCACTCTTCTTTTGGAGTAAAATCGATAGCTCTGATTTCTTAAGTGTTTGCTGCTGTGGGATGGTGTGGGGATTCTTTCAGACACGATCCTTCAGACACCCCCACAGATAAAAATCTGGGGTTGAGGTCTGGGAAAGGGGGCAGAGGGTATTTATTTCATATTTAACTCTATCTTGGACATATAATACGGTTTTATCCAAGACTAAGTGTAACAGGAGTGCTTATGACAAAAGGCCTTTCGTTGAATTATTATGTTTGAGAAACAGAGTAGAAGTTATGCTTAGGGGACAGGTGTGAAATGTTGAATTCGATATTTGTTTCAACACGAATTGAAATATATTTTAAAGTAACATTCTAAGTGTATTTGTGGGTTGCCTCTGATATATAGTGTATTGACAAAATTCTTTGTGGAGGGAGTAGACCCTACTGGTTTGGCCCAAACTGCTCCCATTTCGGTCAGTTCCAATGCGTCTCTTACTCCTGTAGCCCACGAGGAGGTGCCATTGTGGGCCGGGCGTGTTTTGTTTTTTTTTTTTTTTTTTTTTTAAGGTTCCTCTCGTCTGGCTGGGACGTAGCTAGATCGTAGAGAAGAAATCAAGTAGCTGGTGATTGCAATGAATGCGCAAGAAGAAAGTGCGTGGAAAGTACGTAGGAAGCACAACCTCCGCACGTCAGAAGTAGGCCTACCTCTGAGCCTGACGTGCTTTCGCACGTGTCCCGCGCGACCCATGCATGCAAAGTACAAGCATCGTGCACTACGTACGTTATGCGTACAAGGAGTACAGGCAACGCAAGTAGATGTAAGGTAGTCTTGCTGACTTCCTACGGTTGTTGCTCGTCCTTTGCACAGGAATCTTACGTGTTGAGATGTTGTTTTTTTTTCCCCACGTTTTCCCCAATTTTTGGGACGTAGACCAGACAAAGAAGCCCGTACGTTGGGTTGGGACCCAGGCTTTACGGAGCCCTGTTTGAGAGTAAAAAATCAATACTACGTTACGTGCCGACAACTGGTCGATCATCGAGCATTCATTTTGCAACCGAAGCGATATACTTGTGCCTCCTTTTTACGACCACAGCAATGCCACTTTCTTGGTCGCACAAAGGACGCCGTCCAATGTAAATGGGGTTTACGGTAATTTAAGTTGGAAAGATCATCCAACAGTGTCCTGTAGGCCTACTGAACGATATAACAGAGAGAATGATTGTCCATACGCGGCGACGAGCGACCACATACGTACACAGGCATAAAATAGTAAGAAGGCCGACAGTTTAACATCAGATAGGAATTCCACTAATAAATAAACGTTCAGCCTATAAAAGTTCGTAATGACTGAACGATTACAAAAATAAAGCGGATAAAATATTTTCAATTTAGACCCAATTGAGCCTATCTTGTGTGTTAACCACTGCATGAAAAATCAGCTTTTATANACGTCCTTTGCACAGGAATCTTACGTGTTGAGATGTTGTTTTTTTTTCCCCACGTTTTCCCCAATTTTTGGGACGTAGACCAGACAAAGAAGCCCGTACGTTGGGTTGGGACCCAGGCTTTACGGAGCCCTGTTTGAGAGTAAAAAATCAATAATACGTTACGTGCCGACAACTGGTCGATCATCGAGCATTCATTTTGCAACCGAAGCGATATACTTGTGCCTCCTTTTTACGACCACAGCAATGCCACTTTCTTGGTCGCACAAAGGACGCCGTCCAATGTAAATGGGGTTTACGGTAATTTAAGTTGGAAAGATCATCCAACAGTGTCCTGTAGGCCTACTGAACGATATAACAGAGAGAATGATTGTCCATAGGCGGCGACGAGCGACCACATACGTACACAGGCATAAAATAGTAAGAAGGCCGACAGTTTAACATCAGATAGGAATTCCACTAATAAATAAACGTTCAGCCTATAAAAGTTCGTAATGACTGAACGATTACAAAAATAAAGCGGATAAAATATTTTCAATTTAGACCCAATTGAGCCTATCTTGTGTGTTAACGTTCCCATAACACGGAGGCATGCATGCTCCCCTAGAACCAAAATCAATATTTTACATGTTCACCGATAGCGGGATCGTTATTACAGACAAGATGGTGAATTACAGCAATTTATTATAGAAAACAATTACAGGCCTATTTCGAAAACCATGAGGGCTCGGCTCAATATCATCTAGCTACTTTCAACTATTTGTTCTTGTGTACTCATGGATTCCCCAACCATGCATTTTTGTTTGTGGACGTTTGTGGTCCTTTGTGACTGCTCGTGGGTCGTTTGTGGTTGTTAATTAACAGTTTAATGTGAAGCACTTCTGCATACAATGTAGGATAATATGTAATGCATGCATAGCCACCATTCCGCCAAGAAGCTCAGACCGTTATGTGACTCTTATGTGCGAGCAGATATGATTTACAAACGCATAACCTTGGGTGTCATCTTCACTTCCCTGATATGTATTTTACTGTGGATCAAGCTACTGCCGGTTCATGTTACCCTGGTACTGCGCAGTTATATAATGGGTACTGCTAATCCATGGTTAAATGTCCCAAGCTTTGAAGTCTTCGTTCGCATGTGTTCGGCTAAAAAGGAAATCTATGACACAATACTTACACCAAGTATGAAGCTGTTCTGGCCGAAAGATATTCGACTGATAGTTGTATTGGATAACGAGACCAAAAGTGATCATCTTTGTGGAGAGGAACTGCGTAACAGGTACCCTTACCCGAAAGTTTTCTATGAAAATCCCTCTCCCGAAACCTACAACAACCACGGACACGATCGACAGCAATGGTCGATGTTTTACCCGGAGAATTACACTAACGCGGAATACATCGGTTTTATGGATACGGATACTTTATTCATATCAACTGTCACACCAGAAAATATCTTCCTAAATGGTAAACCTGTAGTCATTGGAGTTTATGGAGGTTTTATCAATGACTGGTGGAAAGGGGTTGCCTGGAAGACAAAGAATCTATTTGGAACACCAGAGGTAATGAAGTGTATGGCGTATTTCCCTGTCATCGTGAAAGTTGAGCACATTGTTGAACTGCGACATTACCTCGAAAAACGACACAATAAAACATTTGATGAAATATTCAAAGAGTATACGGTTGTAGACATCTTTTCACAGTTCAATTTGATGTGCCAATATATATTCACGTTTCATCGTAATGAATACAGTTTCCATATTCAAAAGCGCCCGAATGGAGAGTGGGTGGAAGAAAGCGAAGGAAGAATGCCGTTGAGATTCTATCATGATAACTTTACAGTTGAAGAACGCGCACCTGTTGCGAGAACAGCAATCCACTGGCGGTATCACACACCTCCAAGGAAGGAAGTTTTACTGCCTCCGTACAATTTAAACAGTTACTACCCCCAAGCTCTCCTAGAAGGAATTTGTCACTCTGGTGGATTTGACGTCTGTCCTGGGCACTGTAGGTATTTTAATAAAAGCAGCATTCATAGAAATCTGTTCAATTTTGAATTCTCTGACTGGACATGGGATCCCGCTTGTGTTGTGGCCCAGGAAAAACACTATGCGGCTGTTCAGCGTTTAATGGAACATTACAGATTAAATAAAATGAACATATTTGGTGAAAAAACAGCCGCTGTCGCATGTGAGCGTATCTTCAAGTTGGTGAAAGTGGACAAAAGCAAAGAAATTCTTTAGCATATGATAAATGCTGTATTTGTTGGGTGACTCGCGTTTTACTTTTTGCACACAAATACTGGATACGAAAGTATCCCAAAGTGACAATAAGTTAGCACTTTATTGAATGTAAACCCATGCAAGTTTACGTTTAATATAATCATCTAAAAACTCGTCACAATCTTTAAAAAAGATAAATCATTGCACAGCAATCTCGGTTAGGTGCAATTCAGTTATCAGTTGCGAACTACTCCCTCTTTTTCACAAGTTCAAGGGCTCTAAAACATCGTTATAATTGCAGCACATACCATAAATCACCCAAAATAATTAGATATGGGCATATCAGATTACATACATGCCAAAATTCCACATGACAACGATTTACAGCCTCGCGAGAATTCTTTTCCCTTGACGCTCTTTGTCGCCCTGTCGGTCGATGCAGCACATATTTCAAAATAAATTGACAGCAAATTAAGCAAGATTTTGCACCTTCAAGTATCGTTACACGTTTTCGTATCATGTACCTATTACTTCTACAAGTATTTTCTGCCCAAAATACCAAAAGGACTCTAAAACATCTTTATAATTGCAGCACATACCATAAATCACCCAAAAATAATTAGATATGGGCGTATCAGATTACATAAATGCAAAAATTCCACATGACAACGATTTACAGCCTCGCGAGAATTCTTTTCCCTTGACGCTCTTTGTCGCCCTGTCGATCGATGCAGCACATATTTCAAAACAAATTGACTGCAA